TTCATGTCTTGTCAGGTATTGTCAAGTTTTCTGAATAGGTGACTTTGAACGAATTCCACAATCTCCCACAATGACCTCTGACGTCTTTGGCAACCTAGATAAGTTGGGTTTTTCCTATGGAGCTATGACAGATTTACATTTACATCATTTAGCAGACGCTCTTATCCAGAGCGACTTACAAATTGGTGCATTCAACTTATGATGGCCAGTGGGACAACCACCTTTTATTATTAAATATTTTTTAATGGGGGGTGGGGGAAGAAGGATTACTTTATACTATTCCAGGTATTCCTTAAAGAGGTAGGGTTTCAAGTGTCTCCGGAAGGTGGTCAGTGACTCCGCTGTCCTGGCATCGTGGGGGAGCTTGTTCCACCACTGGGGTGCCAGAGCAGCGAATAGCTTTGACTGGGCTGAGTGGGAACTGTGCTTCCGTAGAGGTAGGGGAGCTAGCAGGCCAGAGGTGGATGAACGTAGTGCCCTCGTTTGGCTGTAGGGTCTGATCAGAGCCTGAAGGTAAGGAGGTGCCGTTCCCCTAACAGCTCCGTAGGCAAGCACCATGGTCTTGTAGTAGATGCGAGCCTCAACTGGAAGCCAGTGGAGTGTGCATGAGAGAACTTGGGAAGGTTGAACACCAGACGGGCTGCAGTGTTCTGGATAGGTTGTAGGGGTTTAATGGCACAGGCAGGGAGCCCAGCCAACAGCGAGTTGCAGTATTCCAGACGGGAGATGACAAGTGCCTGGATTAGGCCCTGTGCCGCTTTCTGTGTAAGGTATGGTTGTACTCTGCGAATGTTGTAGAGCATGAACCTGCAGGATCCGGTCACCGCTTTGATGGTCACGCCAAGGTTCTTTGCACTCTGGGAGGAGGACACAATGGAGTTGTCAACCGTGATGGCGAGATCATGGAGCGGGCAGTCCTTCCCCGGGAGGAAGAGCAGCTCCGTCTTGCCGAGGTTCAGCTTGAGGTGGTGATCCGACATCCACACTGCCAGACATGCAGAGATGCGATTCGCCACCACTCTCTTAATCTAGAATGGCTGATATTAGGTGGTGCTTAATGAATATAGCCAGCCATTATGCCGGATGGCGGCCATATACATGCTACAGAGTTTAAAGCAGATGGGCTTTTATTCATCTGAATTGCCATTTGGTATAAACTACTTCTGGATCATAATGCCTAAAATATCTGCAGTTCCTAAATGAGATGGTCCCTTTGTGAAATAAACAGAACATTGTCATGTAGACATAATATAATTGACAGATTTCTATCTGTGTCGTTTTATTCACTTATGGAAACCTTGTAGGTTGGGTTCCAGCACAAATGTTGTTGGATAGAAAGTTTGAATAATGAATGGTGTGTCGGGTGACAAGGCTGAGATGATTCTGCATCGGGTCGGTTACAAACTGTGGATTGCCCTACAGAATGTGTGTATGTGGAGTACAACCTAAAGTCGTCAACGTTAGGGATTTGTGTAAGGAAGATTGTTTATTGTTGAAAGCTAATGCATTTGTTTATTTTGTCCAGGATCAAGTGATATTTATAACCAAGGTGTAGCCCTTTCCTACAGTCAATGACCAAAAGCTCCCTCTTTGGACTCATTGGTGGAATGTAATTATTTTCAAAAACACAACACAAATCCAGTGTTTCTATGTCAAACAGTTTTGTTATATTTCAGTCTTCTGTGATGTATATAAAAGTGTAATATTGGGATGCAAACTCAAAATTGAATACATTTCAGCTCTGTATCTGACATGGTACAGGTGTCTTCTTTTTTTTAAGTCCATAACCATGTATGTGAGGTGTATACTTTTGTTTCAAAGTAGATTTGTTTAAGACTACCCTGATTTAGCCCACTGCAGACTACCCTGATTTAGCCCACTGCAGTATTAAGTATGAATAGGTAAAAGAAAATTGATGCCCAATGAGAAAACACTAATCATATGGAATGTAGTTTTGCTGTGAGTGATTGGAGAGTTAATGAATGGGAATACAAGTAATGAGCAGCAATAACAATTGTCTTCATATTTACCTTTCGTCATTTGGTAATTACTGACTAACTATAATAGAGTGTAAAATGATTCACCCTCATTATCTGTATATTTTCTTTCCTGACACTTATCAATGCCATCTACTATTGGAGAGGTATTCTACATTCCTTTCTATACTCAGAAAGACCTACATGGCTCATGATGTATTGTATAGACTTTCTTCTGCTCTTTTTCTCCCATCATTTGCACTCTTTTCACCCAGAGGACCTCACACATACACACACCCCTGTCTCTTACCTAACATACACATACCCCCATCACTGGCCTTTGTGTGGTGGCTTCACACCGGCCTGGGTTAAAGCTGGCCCACAATGTGTACAATCATATTTGAGTTGAGCCACAAGAGCCCTTGTTCTCTCTCCTACTGCTGTTAATAATTAACGTGCCTTTCACTTCAAAACCACGGCCTAGGTCATGGCAATCCATTTGTTGTTTCTATGTTATATTCATCGAGCACGGTTTGTGCACGGCTTTGCTCGCGGCTCAAAGGTGGGCGATTTAACGACGTTTGATGAAAATGTAACGTTTGTGTTTTTGCATATGCACAAATGTGATCCAGTAATGCCCTTCTAAAGTGGGAATGGTGTGTACCTGATATGATTCACACAGATAATAACAACAATCTGGTTAGTCTGTGCTGTGTCTGATAATGTGATTTTAGAGCTGGAGATGTCTGAATCTGTGGACAGATACATATTTTTACGTACTGGACTTTTACATTGAGCAGGTAGAGAGAATAGAGAAAGAGAAAGAGAAGGATAAGGAGAGGGTAAATAGAGAGAGAGGGGGCGAGAGTAGACAGAGAACGAGAGAGTGAGAGAGAGGGAGAGAGTTTTCCTTCCTGCATTAGCATTTGTTTGGCCCCATGCCTGTGGGGTGATAGGATTAAAGTGTCTTTAAACATGACCCCTGTCCTCTATTCTGATATTAACAGGATAGACAGTCCCCTCGCTGCAAGCCAAGGTCACTTTTAAACAATGTTTAGAAAAACCCATGTAAACCCAGCCCTAGCTGCCGGGGGGTCCAGTAGATTGTGTTGCTGTTGCATCAATATGGAGGTGATGCAACACCACAAAATGAAAACTGTAATAGCTGAAAAACTATCTCACTGTTTAACATTAACAACAGCAACAAAAACCAAGTTAAAAGGGAATTATTGAGGATTGTTATGGTTGGAATGTTTCGTAGCCCCCCTACCTACCTCACCTGCTCTAGCTCACTATGTGGAACCCCACTGTGCTGAAATGAACTGCGCTCCATTGTTTGCTCCCTGCTGTGTACTAACTCAGATCCAAACCCCCCCGCCCCAACACACACACACACGCACACACACACACACACACACACACACACACATGAACATGCACACATACACGCACATGCACGCACACATACACACAAGCCCACAAACACACACCTCATCAATATGCATGGCCATGCACAGATGTCTGCACTGAGGAATTAAATGTAATGCAGCAAAACCGGAGCTTTTGAATCTGGTGTAATCACAGGAAAAAGCATTGTGAACCAGATAAAGCCTGTGTTTGCATCAGTGAGGGATATCCACTTATCTGTGAATTAACACCCAGCCTGCAGTTCATTATGCCCACACACACACACACACACACGCACGCACGCACACACCACGCACGCACGCACGCACGCACACGCACGCACACACACGCACACACCACACACAAACACGCATGCATGCACACACACACACACGCGCACACACGCACGCAGCACACACACACACACACACACACACAGACACAGGGGCAGAAAGGGCAAGGCTTTTGAGTGACATACAGAGTGAATGACAAAGTGACTCATCTAATAAAACCACAAGCACATTTATTCGTGGCAGTCCATATTCTCTCTCTGTGGGGTCAAAAATCAGTCATTAACCTCTGTCTCTCTCTCTTTTCCTTTAACTCTCAAACTACCTCACCCTCTCCCTTTCATCCTCGCTGTCTCTCTCTCTATCTGCCTCTTTCCCACACTCTGTCTGCCTCTGTCTCTCTCTATCTGCCTCTTTCCCACACTCTCTGCCTCTGTCTCTCTCGCTCTTCCTTTATCTCTCAGACTTCTCACCCTCTCCCTTTCTCTCTCTCTCTCTCCATCTCTCTTTCTTTCTCCCACACTCTCTCTCTCGCTCTCTATCTATCTTTCTCTCTCCATCTCTCTCTTTCTCCCACTCTCTCACTCTCTGTCACACATCTCCTAGCACCTGCCCCCACGCCCACCCCCCAGCGTCTTGCGGTATTGTTTTGAATAATGATATCTGAAACCCTCCCACACACATGGTCACATGGCTGAGTTCACTTGACAGATTGTCATCAGAATACAGTAATGGGATTTTTTTTCAAACCAAGCATCTGGTTGGTCACGACTGCAGGGGAGAGATTGACAACCCTTAGGAGGGAGATGTTGAGTAATGGGACGCTTGGACAAGATGTGGAACATCAGTCTAGTCTCAAAACAGATGACTAGTGACTTACTCCATAAGAGCTAAAGAGATCAGAGTTCTGATTGTTTGACGTGTAAAATACAAAGGTATTTTTTACTTGTCAATATGGGATCTCTAAAAAGATGAAGGTTCCTGATGATTATAAGAACAGTACATTCTCAAGTGACAATTATTTATGTATTTCTCTCCCAGGTGCTCCAGTGGAGGTGAGGGAATGCAGATTCCCCGGTCGTCCCAGAGGAGGAGTGAGCTTGTGTGTAGGAACCCCTTCCACTGCTGATCCCCTTCCTCCACCACTCTCCCCTCCCTCCCTCCACCCAACCCTCTCTCCCTCACTCCCTCCCTCCACCCCTCCCTCCCTCCTTCCACCCCTGTCTCCCTTCCTTCCTCACTACACCCCTACCTCCCTCCACCCCTCCCTCACTCCCTCCCTCCCTCGCTCCCTCAATCTCTGATGGCTCTATGGGGCTTCCTCAGTGTCAGCCTGCACTGCTGGGTCTGGCTCTGGGCCGGGGCCCCTGTGTCGACCAGCTTGCCCCACGACCGCCCCGGAGGGCCCCTGGACTGGCTGCTGTCCGACAAGGGCCCCTTCCACCACTCCCAGGAGTACACAGACTTCGTTGAGAGGAACCGGCAGGGCTTCTCCACCCGCTACAAGATATACCGGTGAGTTGTTTAGCAGGGCTTGTACATGGGGCAGTATATCCCAAACTCGGTCCTCAGGACCCCAAGGGGTGCACATTTAGTTTTTTGCCCTAACACTACACAGCTTATTCAAATTATCCAAGCTTGATTATTAGTTGATTATTTGAATCAGCTGTGTAGTGCTAGGGCAAAAACCAACACGTGCACCCCAGGGGTCCCGAGGACCGAGTTTAGGAAACCTTGACGTAGGGGGTTTACAGGTAAACAGGTGAGTCTCATAGCAGTGTTCTTTTCAGAGATATACAGAAGAGTCAGACCACAGGTAGTCTAGATTAGGATTAGACTGCCTACCAACGCGTTGGTACTTCAAAGCAGGCTGAATGTTATATCCACTATCAAATTGCTAAAGCACGTTCATTGTCATGTGGGGCTTAAAGTCGTGGAGTAAATACCACTGGAAGGAAGGCCTTGAAAAGAGATGTGGAAAGTCCTCACCTCACCCCTTCTAGGATGGTCTAGTAGAAATCATAATGAATTGAAGGAACTGTAATTAAGTCAACTAAGGTGAAGTAAATAAATGGCCTTGGAGGAGGAGAGGAGGGAAAAACGTACATTTTTAAAGCAAGTACTCTAGAATTACAAAATGGCACCTACTTGTGTAGCTATTTTGGTTATTTCTTAATCTATGCATCTACTATTTTAGCTGTTTTGTATCTACAGTATGCACCTAGGCACCTACATAATATAGCTATTGTGGGAAATAGTACAGTTAAATGATTTGAGTGTATCAAGGCAATTACAAGCAAATGGCCATATGCATATTCTGATATCTGTTCAGGTAAAATATGTTGATTATTGTAGTGTAGGGGGGAAAACGTATGATTTGTCATAAAGTTGTACACATTTTCACATATTGGCTCGTGATATAAAATTAGTGGAAAGTGTGTCATATCCTGTCAGTTATGGCTTGGAAAGGTATTGAACACGCACCGGGAAACCGCAGATGGGACTCTGACATCTATGGATTTGTGCTGGGTGTTTTATGGGCTATGGTGATCGGCTTCCCGCGTTAAAGCGTTTTAATATTTCTCCTCTGGCTAGTGGAAGCCCATCACAGCTCTGGGGCCTGAGCTTCATTGGCGGTAAGATTAATAGTCTTATCATGTGGCCAAGTGATTAGTGGGCTCTTAATACTTATTACTCTGCATTATCACACAGTCCCCTGAGAGGCTACTGTCAGCTGCAAGGTTGTGTCTGAGGTGCGCTAGATTACAACCAGCCCTTGATTAACAATAATATTATTAAAGCCCTTTCATTGGCTGGTAGAAATGCTGAGCACTGTATTTTATGTCATAAACCAGGTTTCCATCCAACCTTTTTATGTGAGTAAAGTACATGTCGAATAAAAAATATAACGATAGGCCTGATGGAAACAGTCGGTAAACCTTCTAAATGTCTACAAAACAAAATACGCTAGACAAGGTGGGATCTTTTTGTGTCGGTAAAATTAATGATGCGAGAAATGGCGGTGGAAACACATTTATGTGCAAATATTGATATAATAACCATCATATCGAAGTAAACTTGGAGTCACGCGATGATATGTTCTGTGATCCTACCACTACGACTCGGGAAAGCATGCAGTTTATTAGTCTATAGTTGAAATAAGTTATGATGAACTTCACAGGGGTGGTGAAAGTGCACGGTGATGAGCTTGATGCTCCTTTCCAATAAATATCGAGGGTCTTATTCTGTTGACATGATGATCGATGCTTGGCTGCCGTTTGACAATAAAAATTATTTTGCTCTTTTGTCCATAATAGGAATCTCCTCATGTAGGTAGCCTACCCGCACTGTCTGTGAGCTGTTGGCAAGAGCGCACGTGCAAAGACCAGAGTTTTATAACCCAAAATGTTTTGAGATAAAACGATCAGTCTAGATTTTTATCGGTACATGGGAATTTAAACGCAAAAGTAATTTTTATGTGCATTATGTCATCATGCACAGCTTTTTATCCGCAACAAGTTAATTTGATGGAAACATATCTCTGGTGGGAAAATGCGCATATATGTTTTATGCATATTTTAGAATATCGCCAATTGGATGGTAACCTAACAAATTACTAATTTGTATTAATCGACCAGACAATATTTGCTCTGAGATGACAACTGCTAATAGGGACATCATAGACATAGAATCACTTGACCATATTTCTATGGGGGCATATAGGGATAATTCAAGGTAATTGTATCTGTTACAGGCTTTGGTCTCGTAACAGTATCTTACATAAGGACTGCATCAAGTTATACAATGTTCCCTTAAAATCAACAGCTTTAATGGTACAAGACGACAGCCTACTGGGAACAGACGTCAGCTCAATATCTATTCCACTTTGGTTCAGCTTAATTCCATTGAAATTACGTGGAAACAACATTGATTCAACCAGTGTGCCCAGTGGGAGGCAACTATACTGCAGGTTTTTACAGTAGGAGGAAAGGTAGTAAATTAATCCACCGCGCTTTCAATTGTCGAACAGATTGTTACTGATATCTGTTCTCATCCCTCAAACTTCCCCAGGCGATCTCAACACATCAACAATGGTTCCCAGTGACAAAACTACTATCTATCAAAAGCTATCAAATAGAATAGAATCCTGTAGAATTGCTTTGCCAACTTTGCCAGACAACTTTGGTTTTACTGTGGCATTGTGTGGTAGCCATTTTGTATTAAAATGCATGCAGGTGGTACTAATTGTATCTGTTAATATGAGAAGGTATTGTGGCGTGCTCACATGCATATATCCAATATGTCCACTCTGTTGCCAATTCCCAGTGATAGTGGCATTGTCAAACAGTCCACCACACAGGTTGTTTGTTTCAAATTACCTCTCATATCTGACAATCTATTCCCTTTCCCATTACACATAATTTCACAGCAAAACAGACATGAGGAGATGGAAAGTGACATTATTTTCCAGCCCAGCTTTGCTCCTGCAGAGTTTTGGATCTCTGCTAATTCTCATAATCCTCACTGACAGAGAGAAGATGAATTACCACAAGTGGGTGCTTCTAGTTACAATGGCGGCATGTTACTATGCCATCGTTGCAGTAATGAAATCGCACCATCTCATCCCTCTTTCAATTTTCCACCTCTCTTCTTGATTGAATTTGAAAGAATTTTAATGCGTCCTCCAACAGGAAATGGAGGCTGTTTTCCTGTTTGGGGAATCACTCAGTGTTTTGGCGAGTGCTACAGCGTTTCCCTCAGTCAACATGAGTAGAGATGGGGTGCCGCTGCACCACCTGTCCTAGGCAACCATTGCCAAATGACAGTTGCCATAGACACCAGGGTGTAGGAAACTGTAGGCTACGCTTGTGTAGCTCTCGTGTTTTTGACATATTGGATTTGAGTAACATAAGTGAGTGTTGGAGCCAAATCGCATAGAGAAGTTCACAGGATGAATGCCGTATTTCTGTACGGCTGCAATGCATCATATTTGAGAATGTATTTTGGAAACCTTAAAAAGGCCTTGATCGGTGTTACAGTTGCCTTCTTATTCCATACTCAGAGAAAAGCAATGTATCCCAGTTCTCTGAAATCTCCATTACCAGAAATAGTCCAACAGAGAGATGTGTGAAAATGAATTAATGATATCTCAAATGAAACCAAGGTAGCTACGTACAGCAGTGGAGGCTGCTGAGGGGAGGACGGCTCATAATAATGGCTGGAACGGAGCAAATGGAATGGCATGTGTTTGATGTATTTGATACCATTCCACTTATTCTGCTCCAGCCATTACCACGAGCCTGTCCTCCCCAATTAAGGTGCCCCCAACCTCATGTGACGTACAGTGATGAGAGACAGATAAGAAGACTAGCTGCATGGTGTAGTCTAAGGAAAGACTGCAGAACCCCGAAAACTGCTGCCGTATGGCGGGTTTAAGATAAGACAAGCCCAGCTTATCACAGTCAACGATAACTGGAGAAACGAACGACAGAATGGATTTGAGGCTACACTTTCCTTACCTGTTCCCTTGCTCCCTCGCTCCTCTCAGTCTCCTCTCTCTCCTCTCTCTCTATCTCTCTCTCTCCTCTCTCGCTCTCCTCTCTCCCTCTCTCCTCTCTCTCTCTCCTCTCTCTCTCTCTCATCTCCCCTTTCTCTCTCCTCTCTTGCTCCTTTCTCGCTCCTTACGTGCAATGCCTTTGAACTGCCGATGCTCAGCTCTCATATAGCAAAGCAAGGTAGAACTGGTGAGGAATGCTATGGTGGCCCAGTTGAAGAGGTAATTTATATGTATGGAGTGAAAAGAGGTCAGGATTTATGGTTATGCTAGTTGTAAGTGACCGACAAATTACTCAAGGGACATGTCTAAAAGTAGGAGTATATGAGTGTGCATACATTCATTACTCTGTATGTTTCATATATGGATTTCAGAAAGCTTTCCCATAAGTGGATTAGGCACACTAACATCACACAAATTAAACTAATTGCTACATTTTCACTAGCTGTATGAGAGCAGACAATTTTCCACATTGCCCTATATGATCCTTAAGAAGAAGCTTTTCATCATTACTCCTACTTTAATGTGATATATCTCCTATCAAAAGCCACCCCCCTCCTCCATCCATCACCTACAGCACAGGTTGGCCAACCTATTCTGATTACAGCAGACAAGCCTCCAATTCACAGCACAGTGCATCATTTAGTGGTAACTCGCACCTGTGAGGTTAGTTAGAGAGTGTGTGTGTGTTTGTGTGTGTTGGAGAAAAGAGAAATACATATGGTGATAGGAGAGAGAGAGAGAGAGAGAGAGAGAGAGAGAGAGAGAGAGAGAGAGAGAGAGAGAGGGGGGGGGGGGCAGAAAGGATTTAAAAAACAGGCAAGAAGAAAGGCCTGAGCTTTCTATATCCAGCATCAGGATGTAAAACATTGCACATCATTTCTTCTACATTACATTGCTTCTAGTGTAGCCTCCAGCTAACTGACTCAGACAGAGCATGTTAATTTCGACCCACCTCACAGAAATATTATCTGAACCTGTCAGAGCCAATTAAAACCGAACCAGCGTTTAGATACTGTAATTATTTAAACACAGGGGATTACCGCAAAAAAAGTATTTCAAGGCGTAACAATGCTCCCGTCTTTAAGGTTGCATACAGAATAACTTAGTAATGTTTGTCAATGTAAACAGAAGATGTCAAAGCTACAGACACTGATGAGAAATCAGAACTTTACAGCTGCCTCCAGCATTTCCTTTCCTTTCTGTCGCTTTACTTTCTTTCCTCATTATGAGTTGTATTGAGTGTCAGAGATCCGCCGCTGTCTATGGGTTTCTCTGTCAATGCACATTTCGATGATGATGTGTTTATTAAGGAGAGCACCTGTCAGCTGCACACTTTGAGAGCATTCTCCTCCCCAGCTACATTCATCTTCCAAATGGTACCTGCTCTGGATCTCTCTGTCCATCTCTCTCTCTCTCTCTCTCTCTCTCTCCCATCTCTCCATCAGAACTTCAAGCTAAGGATGCAGTGAGGAGGTGCGGTTGATGGATGCCCCCGTTAACTCACCCCTCCCCGACCCTTCTGCCAGACAGACAGGACAGAACGACAGAAAACCATTAATACCATCACATCATCAGTGAGCCTTATTTACCAAACAGTTTTCAATGGCGTTTAAAGTCTTCTCCTTTCCAGAGAGTTTGGGAGATGGAAGGTGAATAACCTGGCTGTTGAGAGGAGAGACTTCCTGGAGTCGTCGTTGCCCCTGACGCCAGAGTTCATCCGTAACATCCGTCTCCTGGGTCGGAGACCCACCACCCAGCTCATCACTGATAACCTGATAAGGAAGTATGGGACACACTTCCTGCTGTCGGCCACGCTGGGAGGTAAACACACCACTGTGTCTAAAATGGCACCCTATTCCCTATATAGTGCACTAAGTTTGAACAGGGGACTCTGTGGGAATGATGGAGTAGGTCAGGAGTTGTTTTTGATTTAACCAACCTGGAAGACCAGGTGTGTGGAATTTAGTCAATCACTGAACTGATCAATTAGCTAAAAATCCTGCAGTACCTGCGGCACACGAGGAACAGGGTTGCTTACCCCTGGAGTAGGTAGTAGGAGTTGACCCCTATTCACTGATACAGGGTCATATTTTTTCGTCCCCCTAATGGTTAGTATAAGGGGGTATGGTAGTCTAATAATCTGTCAGTTATCTGTTTTTGTGAAGTCCCAATACCACCAAAATGCTGATGTTAATTCTACTGAGGGAAGGACATGTGCATGACTTCTAGGCCAATATTGGTACAGCAGCCTATATGAATTTAGTAGAATACCTTTCACAAATATGTTTTTGTCTACATCAAATCAAACCAAATGTTATTTGTCACATGCGCCGAATACAATAGGTGTAGACCTCACCGTGAAATGCTTACTTACAAGCCCTCAACCAACAATGCAGTTCAAGAAATAGAGTTAAGAAAATATTTGCTAAATAAACTAAAGTAAAAAATAAAATAAAAAGTAACACAATAAGATTACATAACAATAACGAGGCTACATACAGGGGGTACCGGTACCGTGTCAATGTGCGGGGGTACAGGTTAGTCGAGGTAATTTGTACATGTAGGTAGGGGTAAAGTGACTATGCATAGACAATAAACAGCGAGTAGCAGCAGTGTAAAAACAAATAGGGGTGGGGGGGGGGGGGGGGTCAATGTAAATAGTCCGGGTGGCCATTTGATTAATTGTTCAGCCGTCTTATGGCTTGGGGGTAGAAGCTGTTAAGGAGTCTTTTGGACCTAGACTTGGCGCTCTGGTACCGCTTGCCGTGCGGTAGCAGAGAGAACAGTCTATGACTTGGGTGACTGGATTCTTTGACAATTTTTGACACTGCCTAGTATGTAGGTCCTGGATGGCAGGAAGCTTGGCCCCAGTGATATATTGGGCCGTACGCACTACCCTCTGTAGTGTCATACTGTCGGATGCCGAGCAGTTGCAGTACCAGGCAGTGATGCAACTGGTCAGGATGCTCATGATCGTGCAGCTGTATAACTTTTTGAGGATCTGGGGACCCATGCCAAATCTTGGGGGGAAAAGGTGTTGTCGTGGCCCTCTTCACTACTGTTTTGGTGTGTTTGGACCAGGATAGTTTGTTGGTGATATGGACACCAATGAACTTGAAACTCTCGAACACTCCACTACAGCCCGTCAATGTTAATGGGGGCCTGTTCGGCCCTCCTTTTCCTGTATTCCACCATCATCTCCTTTGTCTTGTTCACATTGAGGGAGAGGTTGTTGTCCTGGCACCACACTGCCAGGTCTCTGACCTCCTCCCTGTAGGCTGTCTCATCGTTGTCGGTGATCAGGCCTACAATCTGGCCCCGCGGCCTTGTGAATGACCAGTTTAAAGGTCTTGCTCACATCGGCTACGGAATGCGTGATCACACAGTCGTCTGGAATAGCTGGTGCTCTCATGCATGCTTCAGTTTGGTTGCCTCGAAGCGAGCATAAAAGGGATTTAGCTCGTCTCGTAGGCTCGCATCACTGGGCAGCTCGCGGCTGGGTTTCCCTTTGTAGTCCATAATAGTTTGCAAGCCCTGCCACATCCGACGAGCGTCAGAGCCAGTGTAGTAGGATTCAATCTTAGTCCTGTATTGACGCTTTGCCTGTTTGATGGTTCTTCGGAGGGCATAGCGGAATTTCTTATAAGCGTCCGGATTAGTGTCCCGCTCCTTGAAAGCGGCAGCTCTAGCCTTTAGCATGGTCGGATGTTGCCTGTAATCAATGGCTTCTGGTTGGGATATGTACGTACGGTCACTGTGGGGACGACGTCGTCGATGCACTTATTGATGAAGCCGGAGACTGAGGTGGTATACTCCTCAATGCCATTGGATGAATCACGGAACATATTCCAGTCTGTGCTAGCAAAACAGTCCTGTAGCATAGCATCCGCGTCATCTGACCACTTCCGTATTGAGCGAGTCACCGGTACTTCCTGCTTTAGTTTTTCCTTGTAAGCAGGAATCAGGAGGATAAAATTATGGTCAGATTTGCCAAATGGAGGGTGAGGGAGAGCTTTGTATGCATCTCTGTGTGTGGAGTAAAAGTGGTCTAGAGTTTTTTTTCCTCTGGTTGCACATGTGACATGCTGGTAGAAATGAGGCAAAACAGATTTAAGTTTGTCTGCATTAAAGTCCCCGGCCACTAGGAGCGCCGCTTCTGGATGAGCATTTTCTTGTTTGCTTATGGCCTTATACACCTCGTTGAGTGCAGTCTTAGTGTAAGCATCGGTTTGTGGTGGTAAATAGATGGCTACGAATAATATAGAGGTACTCTACCTCAGGCGAGCAATACCTCGAGATTTCTTTAAAATTAGACATCGCGCACCAGCTGTTATTGACAAATAGACACACACCCCCGCCCCTCGTCTTACCAGACGTAGCTGCTCTGTCCTGCCGATGCACGGAAATCCCAGCCAGCTCTATATTATCTGTGTCGTCGTTTAGCCACGACTCGGTGAAACATAAGATATTACCTTTTTTAATGTCCCGTTGGTAGGATAGTTTACACCATAGATCATCCAGTTTGTTTTCTGGTGATTGCACGTTGGCCAATAAAACCGATGGTAGTGGCGATTTACTCACTCGCCTACGAATGCTCACAAGGGACCCCGACCTTTTCCCCTTGTATCTCTGTCTTTTCTTCACGCGAATGACGGGAATTTGGGCCTGGTCTCCGGGAAGCAGTATATCCTTCGCGTCGGACTCATTAAAGAAAACATCTTTGTCCAGTTCGTGGTGAGTAATCGCTGTTCTGATGTCTAGAAGCTCTTTTCGGTCATAAGAGATGGTAGCAGCAACTTTATGTACAAAATAAGTTACAAACAATGCGAAAGAACAAACAAAATAGCACAGTTGGTTAGGAGCCCGTAAAATGGCAGCCATCCCCACCGGCGCCATTATAATAATGACAGCCCATGTAAAAACCTCAGTACATGTACATGTACTGTATAACCCTCAGCTACACAGTCATTCCCCAGTGCTTTTGATAGGCATGTGGACAACGCCGTGAGGGTGGTTGCTCTTAACAGAAGAGAAGCTCATTTCAGCTATAAAGCCCTGTGCATGTCGGGGAAAGCAAGGGAATGGGTTTCCTGTTGGAAAGCAACACTTGTCGATTACCTCAGCCGGGCTCATGGAAAGGTCGCAGTTATGAGTGGCCACGCACCCACCCACACACACACACACACACACACACACACACACACACACACACACACACACACACACACACACACACACACACACAGCTGCACCAGCTGATGCGATGCAACCTCAATGCTCTTGCACACAACCAATTCAGAGTAGTTCTGTTTGAGGAGAGGAAGATGAGGAGCTGTTGCTTGGCCATGAGCCAGAGATGTGCTGCTGGCTGCTGAATGGGGTTATAAATGGATAAATTACATGGGGATTTAAGGGCCCCTTTCTGTAGCGGAGGAAGAACACAAAACACAGACTACCATTGATGATATGATACCCTGCCTTATGGTTGAATCTGGATGTATATTTGTTCATATTCTACCAAATAGCACATGGTTAATAGTAATAATAGCTGGCAGTGAATAATACACTATATTATTCCTATTGTTTGCCTTACTACTAAAACTGGGTAGCTGTTGATGATATAGTTCAGAGACACTCTAAATAATGTAAACTGACATTTGTATAGATTATTAAAACCATGTTAGCCAGCAAACGTTCTCCCAACAGTTGAAAAAAAAGACTGTTTAAACAGCGTCAGCAAACATTGTCGTAACACTGTCTTTCTGTTTGCAGGGGAAGAGGCCTTAACGATATTTGTGGACAAGAGGAAGCTGAGTAAGAAGGCGGAGGTGAGCGACTACTCTGGCTCTGGCAACTCGTCCAGCGTAACTCTGGAGGCCCTGCACCAGCTGGCTGCCTCCTACTTCATAGACAGAGAGAGCACCCTGCGCAAGCTGCACCACATCCAGATAGCATCCACAGCCATTAAGGTACACACACAAACACACACACACACACACACACACACAAGCACACACCAGACACACACACACACAAACGCTCACACTCCGCACACACATACACACATGCACACATGCACACACACTGACCTTCCATCAAACTTGAAACTTCATGCAATCAGACTTGTTCAAGTGGAGCAGCACAGTTGGTTAGCTGATTAGAGATCCTGGAATGCCCCTTGTAAGAAGTGTCAGCTTGTCAGGTTGTGAAGAGACAGGAGTGTTGATCAGTAGGTGGTGGATTTCCAGGGCCAGGCATTGACATAGCTCATCTGAACTGAGTAGGTGTTGGGATGAATGTGATGACATACAGGACATACCAGTAGGTTACTGCAATGTTGTGTGAATAAAGAAAGTGATATAAATACCTCATTTTACATGACATTTTAGTCATTTAGCAGACGCTCTTATCCAGAGCGACTTACAGTTAGTGAGTGCATACATTTTCATACTTGCACTGTTAGTGCAACATTTCGACAGGATGGATTTTGTCAGGCTGAACTAAAGCGTGCAAATGTTTATGTTTCTTTATTATGCCTTTTTTTCCCCTGCACCTGGAAAGTTGTTGGATGTGCACACACCCCTTTTGAAAATAGGAAAGTGAACCTTTCAGATCCTTCATGTTGCTATATAGTGACAGTCACATCTGTGTGTGGCATCCGGCCCCTCTGAATTTGTCGGAGCAAACTATGAATAACAACTATCAAAGCTCTGTACTCCCTCAACCACAAGGCTGTGTGGGAGGTCGGACATTTCTATCACAGCAGAGGTATCTAGTCACTACTCAGAAAGCAAGACGTGCTGCTTTGTCTGTTCTGTTGGGAGTAACTTTTGTAGTGTGTGTGTATGTGTGGGTGTGTGTGTGAGCGCCAGCTTTAATGTTTCAAAGGCAGAGATGTGTTGAGAGTGACAGGTGAGAGCAGAGAGGCAGAGAGGTTGAGCAGCTCCATCAGTGAAGCAGAGTGAATCACAGAGAGGGATGGAGGGAGGGAGGCGGTGGAGGGATTCTTCAGCACACGCATCATTTCCACAGGGCGTCAACCCCCGCGCCACCGGAACAGACACAACCAAGAGCTCCACCATGTGAATGTGAATTGGACGGGGGAAGGTGGAGGATAGCAGATGAGGCTGCCGATGCATCCGCTGCCTCTCCCCATGGCCGTATAGAGGAAAAATGTGGGAGCTAATTTCAGTGGAAAAGTCTGTTAGTGCTCTGGTGTGCTGGGGGTTTGCTGTGGAAATCATCTCCCTCTTAAAGAGGTCACGGTGCGGCCTGCTACCTCGCTACCTCTGTTCAGAGAAGGTTGTTGCTATAACGAGTAATGACTCAAGCTGTTACCAGAGCGGCAGGGATCATTTTTGTTATGATTTGACAATTTCCCTGATGTTGATATCCCCACCTAACCAATGCGATGGTTGGCAGTGTGTCTGCAGAATGATGAACAATGATAGAAAGTTTCTCAGCAGTGGGGCTCTCACAACACTGTGTGGATTCATATTTATTTCCACTCAGACAGTCCCAGTATTGGATTATGTTCCCATTATGGCAAAATTGCATTTTTTTACGTTTCCACCCCGGTACTCAATCGATTGTTGTCTGAGTTATCACAGGGGCACTGTATCCAGCAGTCTTAAAGCTACAATCTGTACTTTTCATTTCCAGTCTAAAGTCCTGCCCCTCCACTTGCCAATGTAACTGCCACTGAGTTACCACATCATTTAAATAACTGCCTTTTAACTAATCTCTTCCTCCTGTTTTCTTCATCTAACTATCATAGACATATTACGTATGTACAGTACTATCTTAATTTGACCAGTTTCTCAGCTGGAAATGAATCCTGCAGCAACAGGACATTTGAATTATTATGTCCATTATAATGCATGGCCATTTTTGTAGGTGTTGATGCATTTTTAGTTAGGATAAATCAAGTCTGACATTTTAAAGTGGAAATTACAAACTTTAGAAGCATTTTTAAACCTCGAATACACTACAATTAGCATTTCTCTGCAACAACAGAGCATTTCTCCGCGTCAACACAGTGATCAAATTAAGATAGTACACCTGTATATCAATCCTTTCACCCTAGTGGTCATGAAGAAAAGCAGAAGCAGAGAAGAAGGAAAATAAGCTTAACTGAGACTACTGGAACACAGTCTCTCTCTGTGTTCCATGTGAAACCCCTCCAGCAGCAGCAGCATATAGATACAGGTGGCCAATAATGTGCCATTAAGCATTTTGTAATATACCAGAATGTATCTGCAATGCAAAGCAGCTGCTATCCATAGAGGAAATTGAATGTCGTGCTCATCAGTCAACGTTGTGCCATATGGGCTATCATATGGCATATCAAATAATGCTCTGTATAGATTCAATATTCAAGTGTCCCGAAACTCTGCGTTGTTCCTCATTTCCTCACAGTCTTATCAGCAGTAAAATCCCATTTTAAGGAAATTTGTGATTTACAATGTGCTGTTAATAATAATGGCAAAGTCATTGCACACAGATGGTCTCCCCTCTCTCTGATTTACACATTCTATTCATTTTCCCAGACACCCAGATTTTGCTCAGTTCAGGGTTTGATTGAAAAGCTCCAGAAGTTTCACCCTACACAGCATTAGCCTCAGGTCTCTCTTTAGTCTTTCCCTCTATCAGCACTTTGGGACTGTGTTTGATTGTGTAACTGATGGATTGACCCTTGATTTCTAGCCACATCCATCTGTCTCTCCGCCACTAACTGTCCTGTGACAGGCTAGACCTGGACACGTCTCTGGGCTGACGACACTGTCCCACTCCTACAAAGAGAGAAAAATGGCAATCAATTAGGAGCTTTCTATCAACAGAAGAGGACTGGAAAGAGATTTCATGTTGCAAGCGAGTGAGAATGGAAAGGATGGCAGAGACAGTTTGCCAGGGAAAGGTCAAGAGAAATGGCTCAGTTAATACGACAGAAAATACCTGCCATGGCTGTGTTGTTAGAAGCTCTCCTTCAACACCACTCTGATGTTTCTCTCTTTTTTGAGTGGGAGAGAATAAGAACAACACCGCTGCCATTTTCTCTGCGGGTGCATAAGAATACCTGTAACAAAGGAATGTATGTAATCGATTAAAGGCCCAGTGCAGTAAAAAACATGTGTTTCCTGTGTTTTATATATATTTCCACACTATGAGGTTGGAATAATACTGTGAAATTGTGAAAATGATGATAGTGCCCTTTTAGTGTAAGAACTGTTTGAAAAGCGCCTGCAATATCAGCCTCTTTTGGTGGGATAGAGGTTTGGCTGCCTGGTGACATCACCAGGCGGTAAATAAATTAATAGACCAATAAGAAAGAAAGTTCCATACCTCTCTGCCAATAACAGCTAGTTTTCTGTTTTTCCCTCCCTACTCAGAACACTCCCAGACAGGCCCAGCAAAATTATTGCTTGAGAAATTGCTTTTTACTAAGAAGCTATTTTTGTTTATTGTTTTACCATTTTAATTGAAAACAATCAAAGTAACTTAATTGTTACCCAGAAATGATTTGATATTGAGATAAAATGGCTGCATTGGTCCTTTAAGTATTGCATGTGGGTGTAAGGAAGGAGAGAGAGAGAGCAGAGGAGAGGAGAGGGCGTACTGTACAGTCGTGGTCAAAAGTTTTGAGAATGACACAAATACTAATTCTGCTGCCTCAGTTTTGATGATGGCAATTTGCATATACTCCAGAATGTCATGAAGAGTGATCAGATGAATTGCAATTAATTGCAAAGTCCCTCTTTGCCATGAAAATGAACTTAGTCCAAAATAAACATTTCCACTGCATTTCAGCCCTGCCACAAAAGGACCAGCTGCCATCATGTCAGTGATTCTCTCGTTAACACAGGTGAGAGTGTTGAAGAGGACAAGGCTGGAGATCACTCTGTCATGCTGATTGAGTTAGAATAACAGACTAGAAGCTTTAAAAGGAGGGTGGTGATTGAAATCATTGTTCTTCCTCTGTTAACCATGGTTACCTGCAAGGAAACACGTGCCGTCATCATTGCTTTGCACAAAAATGGCTTCACAGGCAAGGATATTGCTGCTAGTAAGATTGCACCTAAATCAACCATTTATCGGATCATCAAGAACTTCAAGGAGAGAGGTTCAATTGTTGTGAAGAAGCTTCAGGGCGCCCAAGAAAGTCCAGCAAGCGCCAGGACCGTCTCCTAAAGTTGATTCAGCTGCGGGATCGGGGCACCACCAGTGCAGAGCTTGCTCAGGAATGGCAGCAGGCAGGTGTGAGTGCATCTGCACGGACACAGTGAGGCGAAGACTTTTGGAGGATGGCCTGGTGTCAAGAAGGGCAGCGAGGAAGCCACTTCTCTCCAGGAAAAACATCAGGGACAGACTGATATTCTGCAAAAGGTACAGGGATTGGACTGCTGAGGACTGGGGTAAAGTCATTTTCTCTGATGATTCCCCTTTCCGATTGTTTGGGGCATACGGAAAACACCTTATCTGGAGAAGACAAGGTGAGCGCTACCATCAGTCCTGTGTCATGCCAACAGTAAAGCATCCTGAGACCATTCATGTGTGGGGTTGCTTCTCAGCCAAGGGAGTGGGCTCACTCACAATTTTGCCTAAGAACACAGCCATGAATAAAGAATTGTACCAACACATCCTCTGAGAGCAACTTCTCCCAACCATCCAAGAACAGTTTGGTGATGACCAATGCCTTTTCCAGCATGATGGAGCACCTTGCCATAAGGCAAAAGTGATAACTAAGTAGCTCGGGGAACAAAACATCAACATTTTGGGTCCATGGCCATGAAACTCCCCAGACCTTAATCCCATTGAGAACTTGTGGTCGATCCTCAAGAGGCGGGTGGACAAACAAAACCCCACAAATTCTGACAAACTCCAAGTATTGATTATGCAAGAATGGGCTGCCATCAGTCAGGATGTGGCCCAGAAGTTAATTGACAGCATGCCAGGGTGGATTGCAGAGGTCTTGAAAAAGAAGGGTCAACACTGCAAATATTGACTCTTTGCATAAACTTAATGTAATTGTCAATAAAAGCCTTTGACACTTATGGAATGCTTGTAATTATACTTCAGTATACCATAGTAACATCTGACAAAAATATCTCATAACACTGAAGCAGCTAACTTTGTGAAGACCAATACTTGTGTTTTGACCACGACTGTACATAAAGTTGAAGTCGGAAGTTTACATACACTTAGGTTGGAGTCATTAAAACTCGTTTTTCAACCACTCCACAAATGTCTTGTTAACAAACTATAGTTTTGGCAAGTCGGTTAGGACATCTACTTTGTGCATGACACAAATCATTTTTCCAACAATTGTTTACAGACATATTATTTCACTTATAATTCACTGTATCACAATTCCAGTGGGTCAGAAGTTTACATACACTAAGTTGACTGTGCCTTTAAAGAGCTTGGAAAATTCCAGAAAATGATGTCATGACTTTAGAAGCTTCTGATAGGCTAATTGACATCATTTGAGTCAATTGGAGGTGTACCTGTGGATGTATTTCAAGGCCTACCTTCAAACTCAGTGCCTCTTTGTTTGACATCATGGGAAAATCAAAAGAAATCAGCCAAGACCTCAGAAAAAAAAGTGTTCATCCTTGGGAGCAATTTCCAAACGCCTGAAGGTACCACGTTCATTTGTACAAACAATGGTACGCAAGTATAAACACCATGGGACCACGCAGCCATCATACCGCTCAGGAAGGAGACGCGTTCTGTCTCCTAGAGATGAACGTACTTTGGTGCGAAAAGTGCAAATCAATCCCAGAACAACAGCAAAGGACCTTGTGAAGATGCTGGAGGAAACAGGTACAAAAGTATCTATATCCACAGTAAAACATGTCCTATATCTACATATACAGCAAGGAAGAAGCCACTGTTCCAAATCTGCCATAAAAAAGCCAGACTACGGTTTGCAACTGCACATGGGGACAAAGATCTTACTTTTTGGAGAAATGTCCTCTGGTCTGGTGAAACAAAAATATAACTGTTTTGCCATAATGACCATCGTTATGTTTGGAGGAAAAAGTGGGGGCTTTTAAGCCGAAGAACACCATCCAAACGTGAAGCACGGGGGTGGCAGCATCATGCTGTGGGGGTGCTTTGCTGCAGGAGGGACTGGTGCACTTCACAAAACAGATGGCATCATGAGGAAGGAAAATTATGTGGATATATTGAAGCAACATCTCAAGACATCAGTCAGGAAGTTAAAGCTTGGTCGCAAATGGGTCTTCCAAATGGACAATGACCCTAAGCATACTTCCAAAGTTGTGGCAAAATGGCTTAAGGACAACAAAGTCAAGGTATTGGAGTGGCCATCACAAAGCCCTGACCTCAATCCTATAGAAAATGTGTTGGCAGAACTGAAAAAGCGGGTCTGAGCAAGGAGGCCTACAAACCTGACTCAGTTACACCAGCTCTGTCAGGAGGAATGGGCCAAAATTCACCCAATTTATTGTGGAAATCTTGTGGAAGGCTACCCAAAACGTTTGACCCAAGTTAAGCAATTTAAAGGCAATCCTACCAAATACTAATTGAGTGTATGTAAACTTCTGACCCACTGGGAACGTGATGAAAGAAATAAAAGCTGAAATAAATCATTCTCTCTCCTATTATTCTGACATTTCACATTCTAAAGTGGTGATCCTAACTGTCTTAAGACAGGGAATTTTTACTAGGACTAAATGTCAGGAATTGTGAAAAACTGAGTTTAAATGTATTTGGCTAAGGTGTATGTAAACTTCCGACTTCAACTGTATACTCTACCACTGTGCAATGTTCTGTGTCTCTCTGCTAGCCGTGCTTCAGTATCTACTCAGAGCTGTGGGTGATGGTCATTGAAGGGCCTGTGTAATGCATGTAATAGGGGCTCAGCTCTGACTCATAGAGCACAGGAAGCAGGAACCCATGGCTGAACACTCATCTCACCAGGGAACACACATTCCCATCACTTCATTGCTTTTCCCAAGCAGAGGGCAGCCACTCTCAGAAGTGTTTCTTTTGGCATTATGTGTCTCATACAGAAGTACTGTAGAAGTAGCAGTATTTTATTTTTTTGTATTTTCTGTTTGATATTTCATGTTGGCTTACTAATGTCTATCACCGTACGGCAAAGCATACACATGAATCCCAGGCCAAGAGTGGGTGTAAGATTGCCAGGATGTCAATTCAAAGGAAATGCATGATGCATAAATATGTATTTGTCATTCTTACGTTGCTCTGATGTTAAAAGGAATGTGTATTCAAAGCATTGTGTGTTTAATGTTGCCCAGGTAACAGAGACCCGGACAGGCCCTCTCGGATGCAGTAACTATGACAACCTTGATTCTGTCAGCTCTGTACTGGTTCAGAGTCCGGAAAACAAAGTCCACTTGCAAGGTCTGTTTCTTTTTGATTCATACCACTATATTGCATTTGAATGTCAGAACTTTGATTACGCATTCCTGTTATGCAAATCCTACACACCATTGTCCACAATGTTACAAGAAATAAGAACATGTGAAATATGTTTAAGGTTTATAGCACTCCCTATCATAAATTCCCATACAATAGCATCTTCGAAGAGATCCACACATAACTTGACAACGCTTGTAGTGAATAAAATACCGTTTGGACCATCATTGTTCTGCTCTTACATTGTTAGTGTACCAAGGCTAACAACTACACTTGAACTGCCTTGTGATTCACCCACTATAAATCACTTGTTGCTATCCTCTCATACAGTACCAGAACTGGACACTTTGATGGTGGTACTAAATCCAGGCTGTGTTGTGTTGTTTTACAGGCCTGCAGGTTATCCTGCCAGACTACCTGAGGGACAGTTTTGTCCAAGCTGCTCTAAGCTACATCGCCTGTAACGGGGAGGGGGGCTTTGTCTGTAAGGACAATGACTGCTGGTGCAAGTGTGACCCCAAGTTCCCAGAATGCAACTGTCCCTACATGGACATCCAAGCCATGGAGGACAGCCTACAAAGGATCACTGAGACCTGGGCGACACTCTACAAGGAGTTTGAGGATTCAGGTGAGGACAAATTGGCTCTAGAACTTTTCTCATTTATTTTTATATCTCTGGTAGACAAACACGCCTTAGAGATAAAAATAGAACAAATCCTTGGTTCTCTATTGAACTTTCAGATCTCATTATAATGAGAAATCAGGCTTGGGCCAAGGCTAGAAAACTGACTTGGTAGCGGATTGGCAGCGTTTCAGGCAATTGAGAAATATATGTACTTCCACAATAAAGAAAGCTAAATCAAGCTACTTTTTAAGTTCTATCTCAGACTTTGCTGGTGATCTGTCAAAATGTTGGAAAACAGTTCATGCACTGAAGCGTGGAAATTCCTGTCCTTCCCTGCAAGTTGTGTCAGACTCTGGCATCATTACTGAGAAAAATTTGATAAGTGATGCTTTTAATCAGCATTTTATCTCGGCAGGCTTTTTATTTGAAATAAATTGTGATTTAATTGAGCCTGGTCGGTCAGCAATCAGTCAATTGAAATAAATTAATTAGGCCCTAATCTATGGATTTCACATGACTGTGAATACAGATATGCATCTGTTGGTCACAGATACCTTAAAAAAAGGTAAGGGCGTGGATCAGAAAACCAATCAGTATCTGGTGTGACCACCATTTGCCTCATGCAGCGTGACACATCTCCTTCGCATAGAGTTGATCAGGCTGTTGAGTGTGGCCTGTGGAATGTTGTCCAACTCCTCATCAATGGCTGTGCGAAGTTGCTGGGTATTGGCGGGAACTGGAACACGCTGTCGTATACGTTCATCCAGAGCATCCGAAACATGCTCAATGGGTGACATGTCTGGTGAGTATGCAGGTCATGGAAGAACTGGGACATTATCAGCTTCCAGGAATCGTGTACAGATCCTTGCAACATGGGGCTGTGCATTATCATGCTGGAACGTGAGGTGATGGCGGCGGATGAATGGCACGATAATGGGCCTCAGGATCTCATCACGGTATCTCTGTGCATTCAAATTGCCATCGATAAAATGCAATTGTGTTCGTTGTCCATAGTTTATGCCTACCCATACCATAACCCTACCGCCACCATGGAGTACTCTGTTCACAACGTTGACACCAGCAAACTGCTCACCCACACGACGCCATACACCATAAACCAGGATTTCCCAAACTCGGTCCTCGGGACCACAAGGTGTTTTGGTTTTTGCCCTAGCACTACACAGCTGATTCAAATAATCAACTAATCATCAATCTTTGATAATATGGATCAGCTGTGTAGTGTTAGGGCAAAAACCACAACTTGCACTACTTGGGGTACCGAGGACCAAGTTTGGGAATTGCTGACATCTGTCCAGTACAGTTTAAACTGGGATTCAATCGTGAAGAGCACACTTCTCCAGCGTGCCAGTGGCCATCAAGGTGAGCATTTGCCCACTGTAGTCAGGTCAAGACCCTGGTGAGGACAACGATCACGCAGATGAGCTTCCCTGAGACGGTTTCTGGCAGTTTGTGCAGAAATTCTTCATTGTGCAAACCCACAGTTTCATCAGCTGTCCAGGTGGCTGGTCTCAGATGATCCCGCAGGTAAAGAAGTCAGATGTGTAGGTGCTGGGCTGGCATGGTTACACATGGTCTGCGGTTCTGAGGCCGGTTGAACGTATAGCCAAATTCTCTTTGGAGGTGGCTGATGGTAGAGAAATGAACATTCAATTCTCTGGCAATTGTTCTGGTGGACATTCCTGCAGTCAGCATGCCAATTGCACACTCCATCAAAACTTGAGACATCTGTGGCATTGTGTTGTGTGACAAAACTGCACATTTTAGAGAGGCCTTTTAGCACAAGGTGCACCTGTGTAATGATCATGCTGTTTAATCAGCTTCTTGATATGCCAAATCTCTCAGGTGGATGGATTATCTTGGCAAAGGATAAATGCTCACTAACAGGGATGTAAACACATTTGTACACAACATTTTAGAGAAATAAGCTTTTGTGCATATGGAACATTTCTGGGATATTTTATATCAGCTCATGAAATATGGGACAAACACTTTACATGTTGTGTTAAAAATGTTGTTCAGTATAGTTAAGAAATTAACATTTCATTGATAGGAATAGGTCATGTGTGATGAGTGTGATAGAAGGAGTCAGGCACAGGAGGGTCATCACCGAAAACAGGCACAGGGGAAACTATCTACCCTGGCAATACACGGTATGGGATACTCCAATAATATACAGGCACAGGGGACATATCTACCCTGGCAATACAAAGTGCGAGTAGCTCCACCGAGCTACACTACTCTCACAAATAACAATCACCCACAAGTAAAAGGGGGGCAGAGGGAACACTTATACATGGACTAATGAGGGTATAAGAACCAGGTGTGTGTAATTAACAAGACAAGACAAATGGAATGATGATATATGGAGCGGCAGTGGCTAGTAAGCCGGTGACGATGAACGCCGAAGCCTGTCCGAACAAGGAGGGGAGGCAGCCTCGGCGGAAGTTTTGACAGTACCCCCCCTCCACTTGACGCGCAGCTCCAGCAGCGCACCGACCCCGGCCTCAGGGACGGCCAGGAGGACGCGGAGCAGGACGAGCCGGATAGCGACGGTGGAAATCCCGTAACATGGAGGGATCGAGGATATCCCTCACCGGGACCCAGCACCGTTCCTCCGGACCGTACCCCTCCCACTCTACGAGGTACTGAAGGCCCCCCACCCGACGCCTCGAATCCAGGATGGACAGAGTACGCCAGGGCCCCCTCAATGTCCAGAGGAGGCGGAGGGACCTCCCGCACCTCAGACTCCTGGAGCGGACCAACCACCACCGGCCTGAGGAGAGACACATGAAACGAGGGGTTAATACGGTAATCAGGGGGAAGTAATAACCTATAAGTGACCTCGTTGATTCTCCTCAGGACTTTGAATGGCCCCACAAACTGCGGCCTCAGCTTCCGGCAGGGCAGGTGGAGGAGCAGATTCCGGGTCAAGAGCGAGACCCGATCCCCAGTACGAAGAACTCACTGCGGTGGCGGTCAGCGTTGGCCTTCTGACGACGCACGGCGCACTGGAGGTAAACGTGGGCAGCGTCCCACGTCTCCCCCGCGTGCCAAAACCAGGCATCCACTGCAGGAGCCTCGGTCTGGCTCTGGTACCACGGTGCCAGAACTGGTTGGTAACCTAAAACACATTGGAATGGCGTTAGGTTGGTAGAGGAGTGGCGGAGAGAGTTCTGAGCATATTCTGCCCATGGCAAGAACACCGACCACTCCCCTAGCCGGTCCTGGCAGTAGGACCGCAGGAACCTACCCACATCCTGATTTACCCGTTCCACCTGCCCATTTGACTCGGGGTGGAACCCAGAGGTCAGGCTGACCAAGACCCCCAGACGTTCCATGAATGCCTTCCAAACCTTGGACGTGAACTGGGGACCTCGGTCGGACACTATATCCTCTGGAACACAGTAGTGCCGGAAGACATGAGTAAACAGGGCCTCTGCAGTCTGCAGGGCTGTGGGGAGACTGGGCAGAGGAAGGAGGCGGCAGGACATGGAAAAGCGGTCCACAACGACCAGGATGGTGGTGTTACCTTGGGAGAGGGGAAGATCAGTCAAGAAATCAACACTAAGGTGAGACCATGGTCATTGTAGAACTGGTAAAGGTTGTAACTTACCCACTGGGAGGTGCCTAGGTCCCTTACTCTGGGCGCACACCAAGCAGGAGGAGACGTACACCCTCACGTCCTTAGCCAAGGTAGGCCACCAGTACTTTCCGATCAGGCAGCGCACTGTACAACCGATACCTGGGTGACCAGAGGAGGGTGACGTGTGTGCCCAGAAGATCAGACAATCACGGATAAGAGCAGGCACATACCGCAGCCCAGCTGGACACTGAGGTGGAGATGGATCTGTGCGTAATGCCTGCTCTATATACGCGTCCATCGCCCATACTACCGGCGCCACAATGCAGGAGGCAGGGAGTATGGGGGTGTTGTCTCTGGGCCTCTCCTCTATGTCATACAGCCGGGACAGTGCATCTGCCTTCACGTTCTTCATACCCGGAATGTATGACAGTGTAAAATCAAACTGGGTGAAGAATAGGGCCCACCTGGCCTGGCAAGGATTCAGCCTCCTCGCTGCCCGGATGTACTCCAGGTTACGGTGGTCCGTCCAGACGAGGAAAGGGTGTTTCGCCCCTTCAAGCCAATGCCTCCACACGGTCAAAGCTCGGACTACAGCCAACAGCTCCCGATCACCAACGTCGTAGTTCTGCTCCGCCGGGCTGAGCTTCTTAGAGAAGAAGGCACAGGGGTGGAGCTTGGGTGGCGTGCCCGAGCGTTGGGATAGGACAGCGCCTATCCCTACCTCGGACGCATCCACCTCCACTACGAACGGTAGTGATGGATCGGGGTGGGCCAGTACCGGGGCTGAGGTGAACAGACCCCGCAGTCTCCTGAAGGCCAGGTCAGCCTCAGCAGACCAGCGGAGCCGGGACAGCCCACCCTTCAACAGGGAGGTAATGGGAGCTGCGACCTTGCCAAGCCCCGGAAACCTCTGATAGTAGTTGGCAAAGCCAAGGAAGTGCTGCACCTCCTTAACCGTGGTTGGAGTTGGCCAATTACACACAGCTGAAATGCGATCTCCCTCCATCTCCACACCTGAGGTGGTAATGCGGTATCCGAGGAAGGAGGCGGACTGCTGGAAAAACATACACTTCTCTGCCTGGGCATAAAGTTCATTTTCCAACAGTCGGGCCAGCACTTTGCAAACCAGGGACACATGCTCAACGCGCATAGCGGAATACACCAGGATGTCATCGATGTAGACCACCACACCGCGACCAAGCATGTCCCGAAACACCTCGTTCACAAAGGACTGGAAGACGGATGGAGCATTCATGAAACCGTAGGGCATCACCAGGTATTCATAATGCCCCGTGGTTGTGCTGAATGCTGTCTTCCACTCATCCCCCTCCCGAACACGCACCAGGTTGTATGCACTCTTGAGATCTAATTTGGTGAAGAAACGCGCCCCATGCATTGACTCAATCACTGAAGGAGGGGGAGAGGATAACTAAATCTTAAAGTCTCCTTGTTCAGTGATCGATAATGAATACACGGGCACAGACCGCTGTCTTTCTTCTTCACAAAGAAGAAACTCGAGGAGGCGGGTGAAGTGGAGGGACGTATATACCCCTGGCCCAGGGACTCGGTCACATATGTTTCCATAGCCTCCGTTTCAGCCTGCAACAGGGGGTACACATAACTCCTGGGAGGTACAGCGTCTACCTGAAGGTTTATCGCGCAATCCCCCGCCCGATGAGGTGGTAATTTTTGTCACCAGTGAAAACACGTGCGCCAGATCATGGTATTCGGGGGGAATGCGCACGGTGGAGGTACCGTCTGGACTTTCCACCATGGTTGCACCAACAGAAACACCTAGACACCTACCCTGACACTTTCGCGACCACCCCGTGAGAACCCTCTGCGGCCATGAGAAGGTGGGGTTGTGGAGTGCTAGCCAAGGGATACCTAATACCACAGGGACAGCAGGAGACTCAATAATCGAAAAAGTAACCTGCTCACAATGAGTCTCCTGGGTGATCATGTTGACTGGTACAGTGACTTCCTTTACAAACCCGGACCCTAATGGTCGACTATCAAGTGCTCTGATGGGAATGTGGAATGGATAAGGGAACCATTGAAATGCCTTGACGGCGTGAGAATGCCCTGTCCATAAAGTTCCCAGCTGCGCCTGAATCGACTAGCGCCTTACACTGGGGAACTACCATGTGATCGGGAAAATTGATAGGTAGGGTACAGTACGTAGCAGAGGGTTCTGAACGAGTGTGGGTGTTCGATACCTGGGGTGATGCGAGAGTGCCCTGCCGCCTCCAGGCCCAAAAGAGCATTGACTTTGACGTGTGGTGTACTGTCCCTTCGTGCCACCGGAGTGGCACTGTCGCTGTCGTCCTCCGCTCTCTCGGACGGCGACTCCAGCCAGCTCCATCAGCTCGGGATCCGAGTCGTCCGGGGTGGAAACGGGCAGACCCCTACTAGGACGTCCTCTGGCTGCCAGCAGGTTGTCCAAACGGATGGCCATGTCCACCAGTGTCGTGAAAGACAACATGGTGTCCCGGCAGGCTAGCTCCAGTCGGACGTCCTCCCGCAGATGGCACCGGAAATGGTCGATCAGGGCCCACTCGTTCCACCCGGACCCCGCTGCCAGAGTCCGAAACTCCAACGTGAAGTCATGCGCGGTCCTCGTCCCCTGCCTCAGGTGGACCAGCCGCTCGCCCACCTCTCGGGCGGGTGATCGAAGACCGCCCGAAAGAGGTGAGCGAACTCCCCGTAGTCCTCCAAACCGCGTTGGCCCACTCCAGGGCTTTCCCCGAGAGGCAGGAAACGAGGACGGACACCTTCTCCCGCTCCAATGGCGCCGGCCTGATGCTGGAGAAGTAAAGCTCCAGTTGGAGGAGGAATCCTTGGCAGAGCACCGCCGTCCCGTCGAACGCCCGTGGTCGGGATATCTGGATCCCCCCGGGTGCTGGGGTGTAGGTGGCTGGATCCGGTTGGCCAGCTGGTCTCGACAGATCGGGTTCTGTCCTCTCCAGGCGTTGGACGACCTGAAGAACCCGATCCATCGCTTCCCCCAAGCTGGCCAGCATCATGGAATGCTCCTGTACCCGTGCCACGACTCCAGGCATGCACTCTTCTCCCGCTGACTCCATAGCAGGTGGGTGATTCTGTGATGAGTGTGATAGAAGGAGTCAGGCGCAGGAGGGTAATCACCGAAATCAGAGTTTATTCCGTCGTACACAAATAGCGCTGAATAGCGACACACGAAAACAGGCACAGGGGAAACTATCTACCCTGGCAATACACGGTACGGGATACTCCAATAATATACAGGCACAAGGGACATATCTACCCCGGCAATACAAAGTGCGAGTAGCTCCACCGAGCTACACTACTATCACAAATAACAATCACCCACAAGGACAAGGGGGGCAGAGGGAACACTTATACACGGACTAATGAGGAGATAAGAACCAGGAGTGTGTAATTAACAACACAAGACAAATGGAATGATGATATATGGAGCGGCAGTGGCTAGTAAGCCGGTAACGACGAACGCCAAAGCCTGCCTGAACAAGGAGGGGAGGCAGCCTCGGCGGAAGTCGTGACATCATGCCTTTCATTAAATAGCAGAAAACAAATAATTCAGTCGCCATTCATACCAGTTATAGACAATGGCGATATTATCTATATGAATGCAGCTGCCACTGTATTGAAGTGATTAGACACAGTTTATCATAGCGCACTACACTTTATTACAGGCGATAGGTTCAGTACACATCACTGCATTCTGTATCAGAAAGCAGGCTGGCCCTCTTTGAAGTCTTGTAGATCGATGCATTGCACTCTTTTTGTTTATAAAGCGTTTCTGCATAAACCTCTGCTGTACCTTACTACATTGTTAACTTACAGACGTATGATATACCAGACCCAGTCTCAGGGATGGCTAACTCTGGAGATCCCTTCGATCTGCTTTTAGTTTAGTTTTTTTTTTTCACCTTACTTGTGGAATAATCTCCAAGACTCTCTCAAATAAGCTGTTTAGCATTTTGTGTATTGATGTGAAAATGTATGTGTACTGTATGTTGATGTGTATAGTGTATATTGATGTGTATTAATATGTATATAGGGCTGATCTGTAAAAGGGCCTGCTGGTCTCAGCCTGACTCCCTGTCAAAATAAAGTTTAAATAAAAAATAAATACAAAATGTTGCTGAAACTATTACACTTTTACTTTGATATATGAAGTGTCCAGTGCAACTCAGTTGACATGCAATATCTACAGGTCTCTTCAGCTAGCTTAGCTGTAAACTTACTCGTTGTGCATGCAGTTGATAATTGATAAATTCATATGTGGACAATCTTTGAAAAGTTTCTGTTGGGGAAAATATGAGCTGAATAAAAGTGTTTTATCATATGTCACACCCTTAAAGGTGGAGGACCGTTCCTCGGTGTGTACCACAGACGTTATGAGATATGGTTGAAACAGTGTAAACCATAATGACTGACAGTGAAACCTGGGGGACTTGGCACATGATCTGTGTACAGCAAATCAAAACCTGACAGGATTGGATTACAAAAATAAACATCTCCTTGCACAGGTAGTTTACAATATGTCTAGAACAGATTAATCATACATAAAAAACATTTATTACCAGTCCAGCACACATTGGCATAGTAACAGTTTATGAATGAGAGCACTTAGCATAATCTGGGGGTATTATTGCCTCTCTAGGTCACCCTGCAGTGGACATGATTGCTGAGGTGAAATCAGAGTGGATGGGCCTTTTTCTCTTCTATTTTTGTGGTGTGTGAAATATCTGTAAGTGCAATTACTTTCAAAGTGTATGTTTTAAGAGCAGGGAGGAGAGGAGAGTGCAGGGGAGTGCCAGGAATAAAGAGTTTCTCAGGTGTGGTCGTAAATGTGTCCTTCGGTAAAGGATATCAAAGACGTTTCAACGTTCTGCTCTATCAGCGGAATGGGATGCCAGCAGGAAGAAAGTAACCGTACAAACATAGAACATGGCAGTTCTGGAACCAATGACATTGTTCTCCTTTAGCCTTGAGGAATGTGGAGACATGTCTGAAGTGATCATATGCACTTTATTTTCAAACATAGGACCAAACAGAATGTGCAGGGAAAATTCCAATGCCTTTACAGTAATACCTTTTGTAAGCAGATTTGTTTCATTGTTTTACTTTAAATCATTGTGTCCTGTTCATTTCTTTACTTTACATAATTTCCAAGGGTTAAGAAAGTTCTGCCTCCACAGATTTCCCCTGGCCATACTCATGGCATGTTCATTTAAAAACAATCACCTTTAAAAAAGTTTCCTCTCCTTTTCATTTTCGCTCTCTTTCTGACAGATGAGTTCAAGACCTTCCTTATGAGGCTCCCACAGAACTTCTTCCTGAACGTGTCGACGATCCAGCACCTGTGGTCGTTGGATGGCGTGTTCCAGTGGCGCTACGAGCAGCTGGAGAACAGCATGAGTGTGCTCTTCAGACGAGCCCAGAGAGTGGTGTTCAAGCTCTTCAGCCTCAGCAAGAGGTGCCAGAGGCAGCCTCACATCCGCCTACCCAGAGAATGGTGAGAGTCCTGCTTTGCTCCCACATTACACCTCTTACCACTGAGCCCCATTTACACTTTAATCACCCATCCAGGAAGCTGATAGAGATCCTCTCTACCTCTCCCTGTGTGAGTGGGAGAAACAGGGAGCCAGCCAAGTAATGTTTATCTACTTTATTACTGCTGCTCTGAGGAAAACTGGAAGCACTATACTTTTTATGTGTGAAGAGAAATCTCCATAGACTGTGGAGAGATGGAGAGAGAAAGTGGAATGTTTGTCAGTTTGCCTGGGAGTGAAGCGGAACACTTGAAAGGATCCCCTACGTCCCGTTCGTTCGCAGCACTTCACACAGACGATATATGATTGATTTCACTTCCTGGGGCCAGTTCCAATGCTAACAATGAAATGAAATGAAATCATTAAATCACATATTATTTGTCACATGATTCGTAAACAACTGGTGTAGACTGACAGTGAAATGCTTACTTACGACCCGTAAGCATTTCCAACAATGCAGAGTAAAAAATAAAGATACAAAATATAAAATAAAAATAGAAATAGTGACACGAGAAATAGATACACAGTGAATAACAAATAACAATAACGAGTAAAAATAACATAGATATGTACAGGGAGTAGAAAATATTTACATAAGTATTCAGACCCTTTGCTATGAGACTCGAAATTGAGCTCAAGTGCAACCTGTTTCCGTTGATCATCCTTGAGATGTTTCTACAACTTGATTGGAATCCACCTGTGGTAAATTCAATTGATTGGACATGATTTGGAAAGGCACACAACTCTCTCTATATAAGATCCCACAGTTTACAGTGCGTTTTAGAGCAAAAACCAAGCCATGAGGTCAAAGGAATTGTCCGTAGAGCTCCGAGACAGGATTGTGTCGAGGCACAGATCTGGGGAAGGGTAAAAAATACATTCTGCAGCATTGAAGGTCCCCAAGAACACAGTGACCTCCATCATTCTTAAATGGAAGAAGTTTGGAACCACCAAGATTCCTCCTAGAGCTGGCCGCCCAAACTGAGCAATCGGGGGAGAAGGGCCATGTTCATGGAGGTGACCAAGATAGTCAGGGAGGTGACCAAGAACCCAATGGTTTCTCTGACAGAGCTCCAGAGTTCCTCTGTGGAGATGGGAGAACCTTCCAGAAGGACAACCATCTATGCAGCACTTCACCAATCTGGCCTTTATGGTAGAGTGGCCAGACGGAAGCCACTCCTCACATGACAGCCCACTTGGAGTTTGCCAAAAGGTACCTAAAGGACTCTCAGACCATGAGAAACAAGATTCTCTGGTCTGATGAAACCAAGATTGAACTCTTTGGCCTGAATGCCAAGCGTCATGTCTGGAGGAAACCTGGCACCATCCCTACGGTGAAGCATGGTGGTGGCAGCATCATGCTGTGGGGATGTTTTTCAGCGGCAGGGAATGGGAGACTAGTCAAGATCGAGGGAAAGATGAACGGAGCAAAGTACAGATGGATCCTTGATGAAAACCTGCTCCAGAGCTCTTAGGACCTCAGAGTGGGGCGACGGTTCACCTTCCAACAGGACAACGCCACTAAGCACACAGCAAAGACAATGCAGGACTGGGTTCGGAACAAGTCTCTGAATGTCCTTGAGTGGCCCAGCCAGAGCCCGGACTTGAACCCGATCGAACATCTCTGTAGAGACCGGAAAATAGCTGGGCAGCGATGTTCCCCATCCAACCTGACAGAGCTTGAGAGGATCTGCAGAGAATAATGGGAGAAACTCCCCAAATACAGGTGTTCTAAGCGTGTAGCATCATACCCAAGAAGACTTGAGGCTGTAATCGCTGCCAAAGGTGCTTTTTTATTTACATATACAAAGCACACACCGTGTTGATGATCAGCATGGCAGATGTGTTGTTGCCTACCCTCACCACCTGGGGGAGCACATCAGGAAGTCCAGGATCCAGTTGCAGAGGGAAGTGTTCAGTCCCAGGGTCCTGAGCTTGGTGATAAGCTTGGAGGGGACTATTGTTTGAATGCTGAGCTGTAGTCAATAAACAGCATTCTTACATAGGGATTCCCTTTGTCCAGGTGGGTGAGGCCAGTGTGGAGTGCAATAGAGATTGCGTCATCTGTGGATGTGTTGGGGCAGTATGTGAATTGGAGTGGGGCCAGAGTGTCTGGGATGATGGTGTTGATGTGAGCCGTAACCAGCCTTTCAAAGCATTTCATGGCTATAGATGTGGGTGTGATAGTCATTTAGGCAGGTTACCTTGACATTCTTGAGCATGGGGACAATGGTGGTCTGCTTGAAACAAGTTGGTTTTACGGACTAGGTCAGGGATTGGTTGAACATTTCAGTGAAGACACTTGCCAGCTGGTCAGCGCATGCTCTGAGTATGCGTCCTGGTAATCCGTCTGGCCCTGGGGCCTTGTGGATGTTAACCTGTTTTAAGGTCTTACTTGCGTTGTCTACGGAGAGCGTGATCACACAGTCGTCCGGAACAGCTGGTGCTGTCATGCACGGTTCAGTGTTGCTTGCGTCAAAGCAAGCATGGAAGGCATTTAGCTTGTCTGGTAGACTCGCATTGCTGGGCAGCTCGCGGCTGGGTTTCCTTTTGTAATCTGTGATAGTTTGCAAGCCCTGACACATTGTTGAGCGTCAGAGCTGGCGTAGCAGGATTCGATCTTAGGAAGTGTTCAAAATGTACACAATTCTTACCCAGAAGAAAATGGGGGAGGGTCATGCTTTTTCAATTTCAATCAGGCGAGGGTTTAATATTATTTTATTTAGTCCAGGGGAGGGTCATGCAATTTGTAATCAATTAATAAACCTAAAGCAATGGTAAATATAAGCACTGGCGGTAGCGCTATAGGTTCGGGGGTGTGTCAGAAATATTTTAGCTATTTTCACAACCAAAAATTATCAGAGCAGTGCTGGTGGTGGCACGAACAGACTTTTGATGAATAAATCAGTTGTGGGTGTGTCAAGGCTTGGCACCCTCACTGGCCAATCAGAACGTCCTCCATGGCTAAATATGTGGTTGATTCAAGTTGTGCATTTATGGTATTTTATGTATTGCCTTGGAATCAACTCCAATGTTAGTTCGTTATAGTTTGTTACACAGCTTACAGAGGAGCGAAATAACAAAATGTAGACCCATCCCATCGGTGCTGAATATGTTAACTTGAAACTGTTTGCAGTCAACATTGTTCTAAGTAATTGCATGGCTTCAATGTGGAAATATACAGTGCATTCGGAAAGTATTCAGACCCCTTGACTTTTCCATATTTTGTTACGTTACAGCCTTATTCTAAAATAGATTAAATATATGTTTTCCTCATCAATCTACACACAATACCCAATAATAACAAAGCAAAAACTGTTTTTTATAGATTTTTCCAAATGTATATTAAAATTATATTTACATAAGTATTCAGACCCTTTACTCAGTACTTTGTTGAAGCACATTTGGCAGCGATTACAGCCTCGAGTCTTCTTGGGTATGACGCTACAAGCTTGGCACACCTGTATTTCGGGAGTTTCTCCCATTGTTCTCTGCAGATCCTCTCAAGCTCTGTCAGGTTGGATGGGGAGCATCGCTGCACAGCTATTTTCAGGTCTCTCCAGGGATGTTCGATCGGGTTCAAGTCCGGGCTCTGGCTGGGCCACTCAAGGACATTCAGAGACTTGTCCCGAAGCCACTCCTGCGTTGTCTTGGCTGTGTGCTTAGGGTCGTTGTCCTGTTGGAAGGTGAACCTTGGCCTCAGTCTGAGATCCTGAGCGCTCTGGAGCAGGTTTTCATCAAGGATCTCTCTGTACTTTGCTCCGTTCATCTTTCCCTTGATCCTGACTAGTCTCCCAGTCCCTGCAGCTGAAAAATATCCCCACAGCATGCTGCTGCCACCATGCTTCACCGTAGTGATGGTGCCAGGTTTCCTCCAGATGTGACGCTTGGCAGGCCAAATAGTTCAATCTTGGTTTCATCAGACCAGAGAATCTTGTTTCTCATGGTCTGAGTCTTTAGGTGCCTTTTGGCAAACTCTGGAGCTCTGTCAGAGTGACCATTGGGTTCCTGGTCACCTCCCTGACCAAGGCCCTTCTCCCCCGATTGCTCAGTTTGGCCGAGCTGCCAGCTTTAGGAAGAGTTTTCTTCCATTTAAGAATGATGGAGGCCACTGTGTTCTTGGAGTCCACCTGTGGTAAATTAAATTGATTGGACATGATTGGGAAAGACACACACCTGTCTAGGTAAGGTCCCACAGATGATAGTGCATGTCAGAGCAAAAACCAAGCCATGAGGTCGAAGGAATTGTCCGTAGAGCTCCGCGACAGGATTGTGTAGAGTCACAGATCTGGGGAAGGGTACCAAAACATGTCTTCAGTATTGAAGGTCCCCAATCAAGTTGTTGAAACATCTCAAGGATGATCAATGGAAACAGGATGCACCTGAGCTCAATTTCGAGTCTCATAGCAAAGGGTCTGAATACTTATGTAAATAACGTATTTCTGCTTTTATTTTTTATACTTTTGCAAGAATTTCTAAAAACCTGTTTTTGCTTTGTCATTATGGGGTATTGTGTGTAGATTGATGAGGGGGGGGGAAATAATGTAATCAATTTTAGAATAAGGCTGTAATGTAACAAAATGTGGAAAAAGTCAAGGGGTCTGAAAGCTTTCCGAATGCACTTTATACATAGCATTCACAACGATATAGGGGCTAGGCCTACTGTAAATTGCATTATGGCTAAGCATGAACATGCCGAACCTTCTCAATAAGCAAGATAACATTAATTATTGATAAGGTCTAGAAAGAGAGCAATAATTCGAATCAAATTCTAAACAAAACGAAACAACAATTTGTTTTAATAAGGTCGCTGTCCGTAAATATCCGTCATTTGAAACTAAAGACATCTGTTTTTTTGCATTGGATGCATCCGCCTATGTAACACTTCCGCATCTGCAGTGAAAGATGACAGAGCTAGAGCGGTGTTTGTCAGACCATGAGACACAGAAAATTGGTCTTCTCACAAAATCGTCTGTAGCGTCAGAACGGTTTGGCCTAGAAACCACTATAACCCATCTATGGATAGATGAGACTCTCACGAACACAATGATGTTCTCTATGACCCCCACAAGCGTCCTGGGACTCGTCTAAAGTCAGTACAGCCGATCTGCTAACTTCTGTCTGTAGCTTCCGAACAGTTTGGGCTACACTTTAATGTGACCCATCTGTGTAAAGGGGAGACTCTCACGAACACGTACATGTCAGTTTGCTCTAGGACACCCACAGACCTCACAAGACTCATCTGAATGTCCCCCGGTAACAGTCGAAAAAATTCATGGAAGTATATATGGAGACAGTTTAAAAAATAATGGGTTAGATACATGTAAAATAAATAATAATAATAATAAATACAATAAAAAATATTTCCTGATCTTCTTATATCTCTCAGATATAGGTGACCGACTGCCTCGATTCGGTCTTATGTAGCAAAATTTGAAGTTTTTTACATTGGATAAAAAGTAGAGACTCAGAGCTAGAAAATGATCTATCATACACTGCAGTTGAGGAACAACGGGAAATTAATACTGCTTTGAAAGTTGATAAACTTGTAGACCCACTTTTGAGAAAATGAATGTTTTGGTACACCAACTGGAGAGGTCTTCTTAGTCTACACCCATTCAGCATTGTTCACACCCTCTTAAGCCTTAGCCGAACCCATCTCTTTAAGAGTTCACATGTGAGGCCATGTGGTAAACACACGCTGTATCATATAAAATCTAAGTTTATTTGTCACATGCACAGGATACAGACAGTGTAAACGGTACAGTGAAGTGGTTACTTGCATAGTAGCAATATCAAAAACAGAATGTGTCCAGATAAAAATATTTGATAAATATTTTATCATTATTAGATGACGCTTACCCGACACACTTGTCTAAATTGATTGTTCATGTGAAGGAAATGCTATAACCAATCCTCAACTAAGTGGATGGGTCACTATTGTCTAGACATGTACACATGTTCATGAAATACAATAGATGGCCATAATCACCTCCAGACACATATGGCTAATTTGATGGGTCATGTAATAATCCGGCCGAAGTGGAGTCTTTTGTTTAGACATGTAGCTAGTTAGGTAGCTAGCTAGCTAGCATAACAATGAACCGGCATAATCCCAACTCGTACTACTACCAATACAAACATTGGCATAGCTGTAGTATGAATATGCAGGTACCTAAAGCTAACAAACTAGGTTCAATGTTAGCTAGCTAACATTAGGCTATAACTAGCAATGCAAATGATTTGAATAATATTACTACACAGATCATACACGTAATGTTAGCTAGCGAGCCAGCAAGCTAATGTTTGTTATCTAACAGTATACTTTATCTTGCAATAAAAATGACTTTCTGACAAAATGTGAAACTTATATCTGAAAATGTAGCTAGACCCGTATATATGGATGAATGCTTCACGGCAGACTGGAACCATTTAACTCCGTTTTGTTTGTAGCAACATCTTGTTTGGCCAGCGTTGTGTCCAGTCACTCCGGTTCACACTGACCGTGGCGTGTGCAGAAAATAGGCCATCACTTTTTCCAACTGATCTGTCGATACCGCCTGCTAAATTCAGGGCATCAATGTTGTTGAGAAAAGTAGCAAAACTTTTGTAGTTCCCGATGGCTAACGTTATATCTTTAAAAAACGGCGCGGTAGAAAAGACTGTCAACACATACTGAACAGCTCACGTTATAGACAGAAGCACGCTACATGGCAGACCAATCCAAACTCATCTCCCGGTATTTCCAGCCCATCCATTATCTCAACCAATCATGGCTAGCGGGAAGGTTGCACATTATGAAGGAATAAACTGCAGAGAGATGGTGCCTCAGTTTTATACAGCGAATAATAATACGACTTCAGAGTTGGTTAAAGCTACACTTTGTGTTCTAACTTTCACCATTAGTCCTATTGATGCAACTTTGCTCTCTAAATGCCTCTTTCTTAATATTGTTCTATTTTTTTCAAAGATGTGCATTAATAATGGTATATGTTTATTGTTTTTTATTTTTACTCACATTAAGAGAATACCTGTTACAAAGTACACTACATTTACAAAAGTATGTGGACACCCCTTCAAATTAGTGGATTCGGCTATTTCAGCCACACCCGTTGCTGACAAGTGTATAAAATGGAGCACACAGCCATGCAATCTCCATACTTTCCCATTAAGAGAATACCTGTTAGGAAGTACACTACATATACAAAAGTATGTGGACACCACTTCAAGTTAGTGGATTCGGCTATTTCAGCCACACCCATTGCTGACAAGTGTATAAAATCGAGCACACAGCCATGCAATCTCCATAGACAAACATTGGCAGTAGAATGGCCTTACTGTAGAGCTCAGCGACTTTCAATGTGGCACCGTCATAGGATGCCACCTTTCCGACAAATCAGTTTGTCAAATTTCTGCCCTGCTGGAGCTGCCCCGGTCAACTGTAAGTGCTGTTATTGTGAAGTGGAAACGTCTAGGAGCAACAACGGCTCAGCTCCGAAGTGGTAGGCCACACAAGCTCACAGAACGGGACCGCTGAGTGCTGAAACACGTGGCGTGTAAAAATCGTCTGTCCTCCGTTGCAATACTCAATACCGAGTTCCAAACTGCATCTGGAAGCAACGTCAGCACAATAACTGTTCGTCGGGAGCTTCATGAAATGGGTTTCTATGGCCGAGCAGCCGCACACAAGCCTAAGATCACCATGCGCAATGCCAAGAGTCGGCTGGAGTGTTGTAAAGCTCGCCCACATTGGACTCTAGAGCAGGGAAAAGCGAGTGATGAATCACGCTTCACCATTTGGCAGTCCGACGGACGAATCTGGGTTCGGCAGATGCCAGGAGAACGCTACCTGCCCCAATGCATAGTGCCAACTGTAAAGTTTGGTGGAGGAGGAATAATGGTCTAGGGCTGTTTTTCATGGTTCGGGCTAGGCCCCTTAGTTCCAGTGAAAGGAAAACTTAACTCCACAGCATACAATGACATTCTAGACGATTCTGTGCTTCCAACTTTGTGGCAACAGTTTGAGGAAGGCCCTTTCCTGTTTCAACATGACAATGCCTCTGTGCACAAAGCGAGGTCCATGAACACCTTTGGGATGAATTGGAACGCCGACTGCGAGCCAGGCATAATCGCCCAACATCAGTGCCCGACATCATTAATGCTCTTGTGGCTGAATGAAAGCAAGTCCCCGCAGCTATGTTCCAACATCTAGGGGAAGCATTCCCAGAAGAGTGGAGGCTGTTATAGCAGCAAAGGCGGGACCAACTCCATATTAATGCCCATGATTTTAGAATGAGATGTTCGACGAGCAGGTGTCCACATATCTTTGGTCATGTAGTGTATAATTGTGCAACAAAAGTTTATCAGTAAACCAATTCAATTCACATCCATTTTAATTGCCAAAAGTTCTGTTCTATGTTGTCTGTCTCTCTGTCTACTTCCCAGGCCCCAGTCCTACTGGCTGATCCACTTCCAGTCTCTCCTCTACTGTTCTGAGAACAACCAGCTGGGTTCCTTCTCTGAGGAGCTCCACAGCTGTACCTGCAGCTACGAGCACAGCCCTTGCCAGCTGCCCCCACCATGTGCCATCGGAGAGGGTCCCGCCTGTGCAGCCTGCGCCCCAGACAACCACACCCGATGTGGGAGCTGCAACCCTGGCTACGCCCTAACCCAGGGGGCCTGCAGACCCATGGTGGCTGACTCAACAGAGAACTACCTGGGCTTTGAGACAGACCTACAGGACCTGGAGCTGAGATATCTCCTGCAGAGGGCCGACCGTAGGCTGGAGGTAAATACATGGCTGTTTAGATTTTGTGAACGATTTTGTGGATAAGTTGCAGAGATATGTTATATGTAATACAGTTGAATAGGATCTTGAAAAAGTAGATAGACATATTGTCCTAACAACTTAAACAACCGTATCTGTCCATCCAGGTCCATGCCATCTTCATCAGCAACGACATGCGTCTGAACAGCTGGTTTGACCCGTCCTGGAGGAAGAGGATGCTGCTGACGCTGAAAAGCAACAAGTACAAGTCCAACCTGGTCCACATGCTGCTGGGGGTGTCTCTCCAGATCTGCCTGACCAAGAACAGCACCCTGGAGCCCGTCCTCACCCTATACATCAACCCCTTCGGAGGCAGCCACTCTGAGAGCTGGTACATTCCAGTCGGTGAGAACAGCTTCCCAGACTGGACGGCCACCAAACTGGACCTGCCCCTGGAGTGCTTCAACTGGACCCTGACGCTGGGCAACAAGTGGAAGACCTTCTTTGAGACCATCCACATCTACCTGCGGAGCCGGATAAAGACGCAGGGCAGTGGAGGTCCGGCGGGGGCTGTGAACGACAGCCTCTACTATGAGCCATTAGAAATGGTGGACCCTTCACGGAATCTGGGCTACATGAAGATCAACAGCATCCAAGTGTTTGGCTACAGCATGCACTTTGACCCAGAAGCAATCCATGACCTGATCCTGCAGCTGGACTACCCATACACCCAGGGCTCCCAGGGCACGGCCCTGCTGCAGCTGCTGGAGATCAGGGACCGGGTCAACAGACTGTCCCCTCCGGGTCAGCAGAGACTGGACCTGTTCGCCTGTCTGCTCAGACACCGGCTCAAACTGACCGCCAGCGAGGTGGTCCGCATACACGCCTCCCTGCAGGCCTTCAGCAACCGCCTGCCCAACTCTCTGGATTACGAGACCACCAAGCTGTGTAGTTAACAGCTACTAGGGGATGACTGGGAGATGTTAAAGTTCATATCTACAAGGGGAACTATTGGACGGCTGAATAGTGTACTACTACAGTAGTTTGACTTTCAGTGGTTTGTTGATTCTCTGGATTACAAGACCGTAAAACTATGTACTTAACCATTACAGAGACACAGGAAGGACAAGAAGAAATATGTATTTTGGCGTTCAGTTGGGTTGCAACTCAATGACTTGTAAATGGTTGAGAGATGCAGGAAGCTGGTCCTTTTTTGTCCACAGAAGACACACAAAAACTCTGACAACCGTAAACAAAAACAGATCTAGAAATTCAAATATTTAACTCTCTCCACATCCACTTCACCATCTTGTTAAAATACAACCCTGCTAATTTATACAGTATATACTGAAGCCAACTGGAGGGACCTTTTAAGATACATGGTACAGTCTGTTTGTTTGTAACTCTTTTATATGTTATTTTGCTTCAGTGACAGTGCACTTTCCATAATGACCAGAATACAGTGGTGTCAGTCAGTTTTGTAGATAACTTGTTATTAAAACATCATGGAGTAACAACTGGGGATAATATTTGTCAAACTTACTTAGAGCTGAGGAACAGCTGTTGTCACATCTCATTGTAAGACACTTTTATCGCAGCAATTAAAACCACTTAGGAACTGAGTGAATGAAATTAAACATGATAGTGGAGTTTGATCAAATAATCATGACCCTCTATTTCATTAATTTATGCGGTTAGTTTATGGATGGTGACCAAGCTTCTCCATCCTAATTAATTAGTAGACTTTGTAACAGGAACAATTCAAGCAATATATTTTTGTACAGTGAATGTGCACACACACACAGACACACACCAAAAATGCAGATATAAGTGAGCAAAGCTGAGTATATTGTAAGACTGGTTTCTTTAGGGTTGTGGCTTAGAAACACACAGGGTGTGTTTTCCATTATCTGCAACAGGTTGAATTGGAGCAGACCAGTAGACATCCCAGCTACCCTCTAGGACCAGGAGTGATGGCTGTCTACTGCACTGGGTCACAGATCCATACCTGCAGTATTCATGTCAGGACTATAAGGTGCCAGATCTCATTTACTAACATGGCCTGTGTCTCATGGCATGGCTGTCCAGCGGAGCAGATGAGGGAGAGGTCACACACCTATGAAGGACAATGGCTGTCACCTCCATTTGTCTGCGCTCCTGTTATCAAATCCTGCTCATGTCAGAAGCTAAACTCGAAAGAGAGTAACGTGGATGAAACAGGCTTGATGCTGAGGTGTTTGTCTAATGTATAACTGAATGTTAGTCCATTGGATGCAGGGGTGTAGCAGCTAGAAAATGGTCATTTGACTCCATCCAGAATTATATAATTATTTCTCCAAAGATCATCAGTCCACTCTGCCTACCTACTCCTGGTGAGCCCGTCCCATTAGAGAGGTGAGACAGAGAACAGACAAAATCTTTACATCCCCTCACCTCACATCAACCCTGCAACCAATTAAACCTTTCCCCTTACTAAGTAATTGAGCTAAGAACGCCGGTGGAATGTTCGGAGTAAAAAGAAATATAGGGAAAATAAATTATGTCTGCCCATTTATTCTTCATGAGGTAAAAAAGATCCCCAGGTATGTGCCTATAATTATGTTTAATAGCCCTCTGCTCGTTCTGCAATTACCAGGCTCAGTTCTAAAGCTCGTTCTGGTGCTGTAGAGGCAGCTGGCTGGCTATAATTCATTATTGTGAGCTTGTAAATAGTTTTTATTCATTCTGCGGAGGCCTGGCATGTCCCTTATGAGACACTGAGTGGGCGGAGGAGAGGCCAGGCTTTGATGAAGGAAGGTCTGACATTTACTGAGCTGTCAATCAAAAGTGTTAGATATATTAAAATTGTCTTATGTACAGTTGAAGTCGGAAGTTTACATACACTTAGGTTGGAGTCATTAAAACTCGTTTTTCAACCACTCCACAAATTTCTTGTTAACAAACTATAGTTTTGGCAAGTCCGTTAGGACATCTACTTTGTGCATGACACAAGTAATTTTTCCAACAATTGTTTACAGACAGATTATTTCATTTATAAATCACTGTATTACAATTCCAGTGGGTCAGAAGTTTACATACACTAAGTTGACTGTGTCTTTAAACAGCTTGGGAAATTCCAGAAAATGATGTCATGGCTTTAAAACGTCTGATAGGCTAATTTACATAATTTGAGTCAATTGGAGGTGTACCTGTGGATGTAATTCAAGGCCTACCTTCAAACTCAGTGCCTCTTTGGTTGACATCATGGGAAAATCAAAAGAAATCAGCCAAGACCTCAGAAAAAAAATTGTAGACCTCCACAACTCTGGTTCATCCTTGGGAGCAATTTCCAAACGCCTGAAGGTACCACGTTCATCTGTACAAACAATAGCACGCAAGTATAAACACCATCGGACCACGCAGCCGTCATACCGCTCAGGAAGGAGACGCGTTATGTCTCCTAGAGATGAACGTACTTTGGTGCGAAAAGTGCAAATCAATCCCAGACAACAGCAAAGGACCTTGTGAAGATGCTGGCGGAACCAGGTACAAAAGTATCTATATCCACAGTAAAACGAGTCCTATATCGACATAACCTGAAAGGCCGCTCAGCAAGGAAGAACCCATTGCTCCAAAACCGCCATAAAAAAGCCAGACTACGGTTTGCAACTACACAAATATCGTAATTTTTGGAGAAATGTCCTCTGGTCTGATGAAACAAAAATAGAACTGTTTGGCCATAATGACCATTGTTATGTTTTAAGGAAAAGGGGGGACTTGCAAGCCGAAGAACACCATCCCAACCGTGAAGCACGGGGGTGGCAGCATCATGCAGTGGGGGTGCTTTGCTGCAGAAGGGACTGGTGCACTTCACAAAATAGATGGCATCATGAGGAAGGAAAATTATGTGGATATATTGAAGCAACTTCTCAAGACATCAGTCAGGAAGTTAAAGCTTGGTTTCAAATGGGTCTTCCAAATGGACAATGACCCCAAGCATACTTCCAAAGTTGTGGCAAAATGGCTTAAGGACAACAAAGTCAAGGTATTGGAGTGGCCATCACAAAGCCCTGACCTCAATCCTATAGAAAATGTGTTGGCAGAACTGAAAAAGCGGGTCTGAGCAAGGAGGCCTACAAACCTGACTCAGTTACACCAGCTCTGTAAGGAGGAATGGGCCAAAATTCACCCAACTTATTGTGGGAAGCTTGTGGAAGGCTACCCAAAATGTTTGACCCAAGTGAAACAATTTAAAGGCAATGCTACCAAATACTAATTGAGTGTATGTAAACTTCTGACACACTGGGAATGTGATGAAATAAATAAAAGCTTAATAAATCATTCTCTCTACTATTATTCTGACATTTCACATTCTTAAAATAAAGTGGTGATCCTAACTGACTTAAGACAGGGAATTTTTACTAGGAATAAATGTCAAGAATTGTGAAAAACCGAGTTTAAATATATTTGGCTAAGGTGTATGTAAACTTCCGACTTCAACTGTATATGTATGGCTGTCTTATTGCAACTGGATTGCGTATTATGCTTTCATTGTTAATAAAGCGATTACTTTTCCAAACTGAACATGACAGTAAGAAATGGCTGCCCATAGAAGAGAGATATATAGGGTGTGTTCATAAATTCAATCTGGAGTGCCAGAGTGTGCTCGGAGTGCGATCTGAGCGTTCTGACCTCACAACGGCAGTCAAGCACCCAAGCTAACTGGCTAACATTGGCTAGCTTGCTAGCTACTTCCAGACTCAAATGAGAGAACACCTCACTCTGACCATTTTACTCACCCTAGCTGAGCTGGCTAGGATGTTGTCATGTTATCCAGAGCGTTGGTGACTAACTGTGCTGCTGGCAACAATTTAATTATCTGTTTACTGACACCGACGTGTTCAACGGGTGTTGAGTGTTCGTAAATTAATCAGTTATTCTGCGCTCAGGCACACTCAGATGAGAGTGCTCTGAAATCGGAGTAGATAGCCAGAGTAAATGTATAAACGCACCCTTAATTATTCTCAAACAGATCATTATGATGTTATAATAAATGTAAAAGAAACACATGTTAAAATGTCACAGACACAATCATATCAAATCAAAGTTTATTGTTCATGTACACAGTTTAGCAGATGTTATAGTGGGTGCAGCGAAATGCTTATGTTACTAGCTCCTAACAATGCAGTAAAATGTCAAATTAGGACACCATTCTTTTTTTTAAACACAACAAGAAATCAACAAATGTCGGAACGAACCTACTTAACAACGCAAATAGCACTGTAACAGTAAATCAAATGCAATTTATATGTATATGTATATACAGTGCATTCGGAGAGTATTCAGACCCCTTGAATTTTTCCACATTTTGCAACGTTACAGCCTTATTCTAAAATGGATTAAATCGTTTTTTCCCCTCATCAATCTACACACAATACCCCATAATGACAAAGTAAAAAGTTTGCAAATGTATTAAATAAAGAAAACTGAAATGTTATATTTAGATAAGTATTCAGACCCTTTACTCAGTACTTTGTTGAAGCACCTTTGGCAGCGATTAGAGCCTCGAGTTGTCTTGGGTATGACGCTACAAGCTTGGCACAACTGTATTTGGGGATTTTCTCCCATTCTTCTCTGCAGATCCTCTCAAGCTCTGTCAGGTTGGATGGGGAGCATCGCTGCACAGCTATTTTCACGTCTCTCCAGAGATGTTAGATCGGGTTCAAGTCCGGGCTCTGGCTGGGCCACTCAAGGACATATAGAGACTTGTCCCGAAGCCACTCCTGCGTTGTCTTGGTTGTGTGCTTAGGGTCGTTGTCCTGTTGGAAGGTAAACCTTCGCCCCAGTCTGAGGTCTTGATTGCTCTGGAGGAGGTTTTCATCAAGGATCTCTCTGTACTTCGCTCCGTTCATCTTTCCCTCGATCCTGACTATTCTACTGAAAAACATCCCCACAGCATGATGCTGCCACCACC